AGAAACACTCACAGTATCTTCAATGGGGAATGAGAGAGGGACTAACAAGGACTCCCTCCTTGACCAAACTTTTGAAAGAGGTTTTTGCCTTAGGGTACATGCATTTGCTGGAGAGAGACAAAGACAGTGAGAGGGAAAGTGAGAAATCACCCCATGGGGAGTTGGTCACCCATAATCCCTTCTCCTCCATTCTCCTCCTGGGATCTTAGGCACGCATGCACATGTGCCCAGCGTTGAGTTTCAAGCCACCGGGTCTGAGACTCGAACCACAGTCAGCCATGTGGGAGTCCAGCGATGTAACTGCTACGCCATCTGCTAGCACCCTCAACCAAATTGTAATCAGGCTCCTCTGAGCAGTCTTCCCGTCTAGGCCACCTTCATTGGCCTGCTGAGCCCAATGCAGCAAGAATCCCATCAAGCCAAAGGATTTTTTAGCAAAATCCTTCCACCCTGGATACCTAAGGTCACTTACCCCATACTCTTCAGCTACAAATCTCCAGCTGCCCCTGTTGTGTTCAGAGCTGAGTCCTGACTTCTCCAACAGTATTGACCTCTATTGCAATAATCTTTTAAAAAGTGTCCCTTCCCATTTAACTCATCCAGTGCAATTTTTCTTTGACAGAGTGCAGCTAGACTGGAAGAGCTCCATTAGTACAACCATATTCTCTCATCCTATAGTCCCAGAGTATCTGGTGACTGGGTTAAAAAATGTACGTTAGGGAACCAGCAGTTAGCGTAATGGCTATGTCGCTGGACTCCCACAGTCGACCGCGGTTTGCGTCCCGGACCCAGTGGCTTAAACTCACGCCTGGTGCATGTGCATGCGTGCCCAAGATCCCAAGAGGAGAATGGAGGAGAAGGGATTGCAGCATGACCATCCCCTCTGGGGGGTGATTTCTCGCTTTCTGTCTCTCTGTCTCTCTCTCTGTCTGTCTGGCAAGCGCACGCGCCCTATAGTGAAAACTTTTCAAAAAAAAAAAAAAAAAATAAATTAAAAAAAAAAGTGTCAAGCTTTTGTAAATGGGAGAGTTCCCAAGAAGGTACCAAAAAAAAGAAAAAAGAAAGCACATGTTTAATGAGATATATTTACCTCATCGAATACCAAAGCAAGGAAATTCATTCATCTATGTAAAAATCTTTTAAAAAAAAAAAAAAAAAAGTACATTAAAAGGAGCCTCCACATCTTTTGAGTCTAGCCTGCTAGGAGAATTGACCAGGATGCTTGACTGTGGAGACTTTTATGTAAGCGAAGGAGATAAACCAGAGAATCAAAAGGAAAAGAAGAGAACTGAAATAAAATTTTTAAGGAAGAAAGACTTCCAGTTAAAACTTAGCACCTAAGATTCTTCTCCTCTCCATTCAAGGGCCACGGAAATGATGAAAAGGATATTTTGAAAAGCATAAATAATGAAATAACAGCAGTACAAAATAATAAAGGCTTGCTCTGAGTAGGCTAGTTGTCTGGGGGAACTTCTCGAAGGCAGAACATTAAGAAGAGACTGACAAAGAACAAGGAAACTACACCCTACACCCACACTCCACAGGGGAGCCCTGGTCTTGAAATGAAGTCCATGGAATATTCATGGTGAATAGATTTGAACCATCCAATATTCCTTTAATAGAATTCTCCAAAGGACAAAAAGCAATAAGGAAGAGGAAGAAATCATCAAAGATGTCGGAGAAAATGTCCCTGAACTGAAGAGACACCCAAGTCTTTGGGTTATCAAGACCCACTCACTGCTGTACAGAGTGAATGAGAAAAGACTCAATATAGTTCTGGGAAACTCTAGAACTCCTAGAAATTTTGAAAGCTTCTGGTGAAGGAGAAAAACTTATTCAAAAAGGAAAAAGAATTAAACTGACATTAACTTACACAGTAAGACTAGTTGCTAGAATACAACAGTAACATCAAATTCCTGGGGGAAAAAACATTTTGAACTCTGAATTTGATTGTTAAAAATCATTCAGGGCAGCCCCATGGCGCAGCAGTTAAGCACGGCACAGAGGAAGATGGGCCACCATTTCCCCATGATCACAAATGCCTACCCTGAAACCCACAAAAACAAGTCACATGTCCACCAGGATCACAGCCATTAAGTGGTAGAGTCAGGGTTAGAATCCTCGTCTCATGACTTCCGGTGCCATGAACTAATTGTGGCCCCTAAAATTCAGATGTAGAGCCTCTAACCCTTAATGTGACTGTGTTTAGGTATCGGGGTTTTAGGAGTTAATTAAGGTTAAGTGAGGTCATAGGCTGGAGTCCAAATCAAACAGAGTTGCTGGTGAATGGCAGCTTTCTAAGAGGCTCTGTCTCTACAAGGCATATGAGAAGGGAAGGCCATGTGAGTGCACCATGAGAAGCGGCCAGGGAGAAAGCCCTCACCGGAACTCAACTGTCTCTCAGACGCCCAGTCTCCAGAACCGTGAGAAACCAGTCCCAGTGTTTAAGCACATCTAGTTGTATTTTGTTATGGCAGCCCCAAGAGATCCCAGAATCAAAAGAAAGTCTGTTTTACTTCCTTGCTCATCTTCTAATCAAATGCTCATCAAGCGGGCCCTCACCGATACTCATTCTGTCACAGATGGAGAAGGTACAACCAGGTCTGGGCCACTTGGGTTTGAGAAGGATACGGAAAGGGTAATATGTACTCACTTCTTTTCCTTCTCTTTTCCCAGGAGTCTGTACACTTCATATAAGCCCTGTCCACTGAACAGCCACATTACATTAATTAATCTGCAGTTCTAGGTGGAGGGAGGAGCTGGAGACCCACTGTCTCAGTCCTGTGACCAGCCTGCAACCACAGTTTGCTCAGCCTTGTTACAGGAAGGAAAACAGAGATAACCACAGCTTCTATCTGAAGCTGTCCTGCTGGGGAGATTTGAAAATATAACCTTATAAAGTGGGAGAGATTTGGGGGTTCATAGAATAGTGGTCTGCAAGTGGGGGTATACAGAAACTTTCTACTCAGTAGGAGGACACCAACAGTTTTAAAGCAAACAGTTTCCAGGCATTCAACAAACTATTTTCCTTTTTTTTTTTTTTTTTGTGGAAAGGTTCTTGCTGTAGAGAGAGACAGAGAGACAGAAAGCGAGAAATCACTCCCTGGAGAAGTGGCCACGCCACAATTCCTTCTTCTCTATTCTCCTCTTGGGATCCTGGACATGCCTGCACACGTGCCCAGCAGGTCAGTGATTCGAACCGCGGTCAACTACGTAGGAGTCCAGCGACATAACCATTATGCCATCTGCTGATCCCAACAAGCTGTTTTTCCCGCAACTGCTCCACCTGAGATCTCGGCTGTAGTGGAGGGACAGATGCTTCCTTTATTCAGTAATCCGTCTCTCACCTTGTAAAAGAAGGTACACCCCTCACCCATCCTAGTCTTGCCACAGCACTTTTCCCTGGGGCACCAAATCAAATCCCACTGTTGGTACTGAGGCAACAAGCAACTCAAAGACTGAGTAAAACATACTTTTGTAAATAAGGAAATGCTTTGCTCTCACCAAAATCAAAGGAGATATGGTAGAGCTGCAAACTGAGAGCGCATTGAAAAGTCTCTGTGGGGCCAGCCAGTGGCGTGGTGGGTAAGGTAGCTGGATCTCACATGGCCAACTATGCTGTTCAAGTTCTGGACTGGGCAGCTTGAAAAACATGCTGGGCATGTGTGCCTCAAATCACTAGAGCAGAATGGAGGAGAAAGGACTGAGGCATGGCCATCCCCCTGGGAGCTGACTTCTCACTTTCTCATTCTCTCTTGCTTGCTCGCTTGCTCTGTCTCTTTCTAGCGAGTGCACACACCCTATAGCAAAGACTTTTAAAAATGTGTGTGTGTGTGTGTGTGTGTGTGTGTGTGAAAGAGAGAGGGAAATTGTTTAAGAGTTTAATATACACATACATATGGGACTAGCTGGTATCACAGTGGTTAAGGCACCTGGATCCCACATGGTCAACTGTGCAATTCCAATAGTGGACCTAGTGGTTTAAGAAACACACCAGGGGAACCAGCAGTTAGCGTAATGGCTATGTCGCTGGACTCTCAGGTAGTCGACCAGCGCGGTTCGCGTCCCGGACCTGGTGGCTTAAAACTCACGCCGGCGCGTGCGCATATGTGCCCAAGATCCCGAGAGGAGAATGGAGGAGAAGGGATTGCGGCGTGACCATCCCCCGGGGGGGTGATTTCTCGCTTTCTGTCTCTGTTTGTCTCTGTCTGTCTGGCAAGCGCACGCGCCCTATAGCAAGAAACACACCAGGCCCTATAGCAAGAAACACACCAGGTGTGTGTGTTTGCATGCCCAAAATCCCAAAAGGAGAGAGAAATGGAGAAGAAGGGATTGCAGCATGACCATTTCCCATTGGGGTGCTTTCTCATTTACCTTCTCTTCTCTCGACAACAAGTACATATACCCTCTGGCAAGAAGTATATATATATATATATATAAAACATATACACACACACACACATATATATATATACACACACATAAATATATATAGACATATATATGTACACACATATATAAGCATATATATGTGTACATGTATGAAAGAACTTTAGAAAGGTCATGGGAAATCAAAGTGTGACTTAGTTTTGTTCCAAAAAAATTGAAATCCACGCATAGTTTTCTGATGATACGTGCTTCCCATTAACTCTTTGGAGACCTCACGTATATTCAACAACATTGACGATATTCTATAAAGTATATCCTTAATAAGGATATAATCTTATGATAAGTTTTAAGCATAGATTATAAATGTGTGAGAAGTATGCGATTTGGCAAAATTCTTTAGGAGTTCTACAAGCTAACACATTTGAAGACCACAGGATCTCCGTACAGGATTAGACATTCAGGGGAACCCAACATGATCGAAATGGAGTCGATAAAGAAACAATCGGTACATTTTTGCTAGCAGGATACAGGCAAACTAAACTGCAGTGATGTAATGTTTACATACATGGCAGGTGTAAAACATTTAAAAGCAGCTCTTTGTTCTCTTGTAGACTTCAGGGCAGGCGCTGGCATATTCTGAGGAACGTAAGTGACAGACCGGCATGTAATTAGACCATGGCCAATGTGGAGGCAGCCCCAGACCAAATCTGGTAAACCAACACTTGGATTCATTACAGAAGCTGAAACATAAAATGAATCTGCTACAGGCCCAGGTTGAGACACCCCATCTCAGGACTCGTTCCACAGCTTCTTGAAATAGGATCTACAACACCTCTACTTTCACAAGATGGGGGTCTGGGAGGGCAGGGGGAACTGTGCAGTTGAACTTCATCATAAGAATTCTCTTATTAAGATCTAATTGGATTACTCTTCCTAATTATACTGAAAATAAATGTATTTATTGTACTCCTGAGGTGCTGAATGCAGACAATTCAAAAGAAGATATTTTGCAATATTTATTCTACCTATCATAAACATGTCCTTCCTTTCTTTTCTTTTTTTTTTTTTTTTTTGAGAGAGTATTTTTGCTATAGGGTGTGTACACTCGCCAGAGACAGAAAGCGAGAAATCACCCCCCAGAGGGAATGGCCACACCACAATCCCTTCTTTTCCATCCTTCTCTTGGGATTTTGGGCACACACACTCGGAGTGAGTTTCAAGTCACTAGGTTTGGGACTCAAACTGCAGTCAACTACATGGGAGTCCAGTGACATAATCATGACACTATATGCTGGTCCCTGTTTTCTTTTTTTTTTTTCTTTTTTTGTATAAAACATTTAATTTATTGAACTTTTTGGGTACTTTGATAAATCATCACTGTATTACAACTGAGCCATTAATCTTGTAGCTTCATCAACTTTAACAGGTTCATTTTCAAGATGCCACCAGGAACCAGATCTTTCTGTAGAAGTTTAAGAGAAAGGCTTCTTGAAAAGTGTACAAGTTCTTTTTGTATGTTTACAAAAGCTTTATTCACTCTGTTATCGTTTTCATCATTCACAATGTTTATCTTAAGATTTTGTGGTAACTAGTTTTGCTTAGTTTTTAGCCTTGAAGTTTTTTTTGGCTGGCTAGGTGAAATACATTCCTGGACTTCTGACCTCTAAATTTGTTCTTGCCTTGTCAGACCACGGACACCTGCGTGCAGCTCCTCGAGCTACTGCACACCTACTTTTTTTTTTTTTTGGTCCTTTCCTTTTTTTTTTTTTTTCCCCTCATTGCCAAGAGGGTACCAGAGAGCGAGCATGCAAGCGAGTACTCCTTAGCGGGGTGTGGCCACATCACATTCCATTCTCCTCTATTCCTCCTTTCTGTCAGAATTTTTTTTTTTTATTTACATTCATTCACTGTAGAATTTTGGGCACACACATGTCCCCAACTTGTTCCTCAAGTCACCAAGCTGGGCTCTGAACTATGATCAGTCTTGTAAGATCTAGCTCCCCTGCCCCTTGAGCTACAGGGCCTGCCCATTTGTCTTTGATTTCTTTTATCTGTCTTCTACAGTTTCATGGTAGAGATCTTTCACTTCCTTGATTAAATTTATTTCTGAGGTTTTTTTCCTTCCTTTTATCCTTTTTTGTAGCTATTATAAATGGGATTGCTTCTTGATTTCTTTTTCATCTAGTTCATTATCGATACACAACAACTTTATTGATTTTTGAATAATGATTTTATATCCGCACATTTACTGAATTAATTTATCATGTCTATGAGTTTTTTGGTGGAATCTTTAGGTTTAAAAAAAAAAGTTAATTTATTTATTTCTTCCATAATTGAAAGACAGACAGATAACCCAACAGGGTCTTGACACCATGATCCACTCCCAACCTCAACTGGCCCCAGATGACGGACACATGCTTGCCTGGAATACTCAGGGAGGTCTCCAAATACAAACCTAGAACTTTGCCACGTGGCTCAGCCTTGCAGAAAGATGTGTTTTACCACTGTACCACCACCCAGTCCCCCAACGTTTTCCTATATACAAGAACACGTCATCTGCGAACAGGGACAATCTGACTTCCTCCTTTCCAGTTAGGGTGCCCTTCATTTATTTTTCTTGTCTAATTTTTCTGGCTAGGACTTCTAGTATTATGCTGCATTAGAGTGATAACGGTAGATATCCTGAACATAAGTTAGACAGCCATTGTGGAAACAATGTGAAGGTTTCCCAAAAAACTAAAACTTGTCCGTACCAGCATATGGTGTAATGGTTACATCACTGAACTCCCATGTAGTTGACCCCAGTTCGAGTCCCAGACCCAGGCAGCTGGAAACTTGGGCTGAGCACAGGTGCGTGCATGCCCAAAATCCCATGAGGAGAATGGAGAAGGGATTGTGAAGTGGTCATTCTCCCTGGGGGGTGATTTCTCACTTTCTTTCTCTCTGTGGAGCACACACACCCTATAGCAAAAATCTGGGACCAGCAGGTGGTTAAGTGGTTTAGGCGCTGGACACCACATAGCTGACTCCACTGTTTGAGCAGATTCAATGGCTTGAAAACCATGCTGGGCGCATAAACGTGCATGCTCAAAATTCTGAGAGGAGAATGGAGTAGAGGGACTGCTGTGTGGCCATCCCCCCTGGGGGGTGATTTCTCACTTTCTCTCTCTGTCTCCCTCCAGTGAA